AATTTTGAAAATTTTCCGAGATATCAAGAAAAAATTAAAGCCTCATTTTTTTTTCACTTAATTGTTCATAACTTTTATAATTTTTATCGGCGCGTTTTCGGACCTTTCCTCAAACTTTCTAGGCAGAAATACGAATGGTATGACACCTTGGTCGTAATTTTTGGACAGGGCTGTAAAATGTTACAAAAAAAGTACATGTGAACTAGACTATAAAAGAAAAATAAATCCAAACTGTCAATCTATGAAATGAGTTTTAAGAATCAAAATCATTATGGTTGTCAATTTCTGTTTCAATCCAACGGTTTGACTTCCCCGCTGAGGTAGTTATTTCCATCAATAATAACATGTTATAAGATTAAACTACTTACTTTTCATAAACTTTGGTAACTGAGTAACAAGAGTGTAGCCTCCCCAATTTTCACTGAAGTTTGCCAAAGATATAGCCCAAACCGGGGCAGATGTAGCAAAAGCACCCCATGGAACTTTCAACTTCGTAATCGGTTCACAACCTCCAAGAGATTCCGTGATATATTTCAATTCCTCTGCTCTTATTTTCTGATCTTTTTCTGGCGATTCTGCTACCACCAACATCCATGTCAATGACCAGAGTAAACCGAATACCCCTGGAAAACAATGATCATAATAATGCTGGGATTTTAATTTGGTTTCAAAATGTTTTGAATAGATATTGTTACGCAGCATAATACACTGTTTTACTAAAACTATAGACCTCCCCCTCCAGAAAATAACCACATAGCGAGGTTGTGGAAACCTGGCCAATTAATTAATTTGAATATCAGTTCGGAATCCAGACAGACGACTAGGTTAGAAATGAAAATGAAGGAGTGAAATAATTGGAATAATTTAAAGTTTGATTGAACTCATTTATGAAATAATTATTCTTGATTACCATAGAAATTGGCTGATGATATTTTTAAAATAATCTGTCTCAATCGTTCCAATGCATCGAAATTGTATCCTGTTTATTTCGTTAATCTACCTTTCCCTTATTCGGGAGGAGACACAAGGTAATGAAGCTGCTGACACCCTTGCAATGGAGAACGCTGCAAGTGATTTCAAAGGACACTGAATCTGTCATTGGCATAGTTTTAGGTTTCACTTCAAAAACACCAAAAACTTGGACTGCAAGAGGAATTGGTTCAATTCAAAACATTCATAAATCATTCACCAAACAATAATTGTTAGACTACAGCAAAGATAATCTACGTTTTCTTAAGTCTTCTCATTGTCACTACCGGAATCTTCGAGATACCAGGCGCCTCTCGACTTAGTCATGGTATTTCCCTAGCTACTCGTAAGACCATCATAGATCATGACGTAATGAAAAGCCTGAACTTGAGAATGGAGAGGAGATGGAGGTCGAATAAAGAACCCCAACCATCACTTCTGTAACACAGAATCAAGAGAAAGAGTTTCTTAGTTCTAAGGATTGCGAGCTGTAATAGAGGTTGGTCAAGCGACCCAAACAGTTCTCCCTGCAACATCATATCCACAGCAGGAGCTCCTCGGTCCTCCAATTTTTAAACAAACCTATTAGGCTCGGTGGTGCAGCCAGGAAGCTTTCTCAAGGGTCGGATATTTTATGAATGTACCGTGCATAAAATTCTTGAGCAACAGAAGCAGAATCTGCAAATAACCTTTTTCTGAACAGGTTCTGTAGTTAACCTGACACAACACAGGAGATGGAAGTCTGCTAAACGACTTCCACTGTACTCCTTCTTATAACAAAGGATCAAGTAAAAGAATTCTCAGTTCTACAGCTTGAGCTGAGTTTACAAAGGAGATGAAGGTTGATCAAAGGATCTCAACTGTTCTTCCTGTCCTTCGGATCAAGAGCGAGAGCGTATCAGTTCAGAAACCTAGAAAGTCCTCACTAGATTAGGGAAAAAGGTCATTGATCTGAAATTTTGAAGGGAAATATTTCTTCACTACAAAATTCAGGCCATTATACTCTGTGCCTGCCCAGCCACGAACAAGATCAAGTTTCCAGCATTCAACAGAGTCTCTCTATTGCCAGCTGATCTGAAAAATCAGTCACCAAATAAATAATGCGGTTCCGACAAGAAGCTGGATTTTTTTGGGTTCGAACACTATTTGAGTAGGTAACTGAATTTATTGTTATATATCTGAAAGTCTTACCGTAACTATAGAAAACACTTTCCCATCCAAAAGAAGTGCACAATAAAGATGAAACTGGTAACGATACTACCATACCGACGCAACCTCCACTAAAAGCCGTCATTGCTAGTCGACTCCTTTCAAAAGGAGGGGCCCACTTGCCCCATATTGCATGAACACAGGGGTATGTTACACCCTGAAAAGTAGGTGTTGTTTTTTTAATCAGTATCACTTAAGAAATACATTCAAACACATACAAAAATTACGTCCAAAATATTTCACACTAATGGTCCTGGGAAACCTCATTGGAGGAAAAAATTAAATAATTCGATTTTTCGTTGCTCAATTTTGTGGTTTTTTAAATCATAGATACTTACAACTTCATCAGTATTTTTCTCCAAAATGTTTACACAATGTAAAGTGCAATTTTTCTCATAGAACTGGAAACATCCAGACGCGAAAATATCAAAACATTTCTGCGATCAGAAGTAGGCACATTGAAGTGATGAAGTCAGAGATGTTACCAACAAGTGATAATCAATAACTTTCAGAGAATCCAAGTTGGGAAATATAGAGACATAAAAATATAGTCAAGAGTTGCAGGAAATAACTCTGAAGAAATACGTATTTTATGTTCAATGTTCATGCGCATATCCTCATATGTTTTGAGTTGGCGGTCAATGCTGATATTACATAAATTTATCGAAAATACCTGAAAAGCTTATACCAGCAACCTAAGAATTTCACGTAGAATGCTGATATTAGTAAATATATAAAATCGAAAGGAATAATTGGAACCTCTGAACTGATTCATCTGGATCAACTCCATTCATTCAACTCCAGAGCCAGAGGAAACAGGTGATTGGATTATCATGGAAGCAAAGTCTACTTGATTTTTGGTACTCTAAACAGAACTCCTTCGAGATCTTCATTAGGACATAAAACCTTTTGTTATCGCAGGAGCTGTGAATTGCCAGCTGATATTGTGGTATCCAAATGTAATATGTAATATTGATCCCTCAGAAACACCGGCATAGATGGTAATGGTACCCGAAAGAATCATCGATGGTAAAGAAAAATTGTTGCGAGAACTCGAGAGTTACGAACAGAGAAGATGTGATAAGCTATCCTTGAATTACAGGCATATAAAACAAATCATATGGAAGGAGAAAGGTGTTCTCTATCTGAAAGTAGACAAAGGCCATACCGTACTATTGAATATATTTTTGTATCAGTCAGACTACCATAGAAGAGATGATGATTCAAAGTTATGAAGGAGCTCATTACCTATAATGATTTCAGAATTGAGAAACATTCAAAAACTGTTAAAATGATCTCATTGGCTCTTGACAGATACCTGCAGGATTTTAATCTTGTAGGACTCGAAAATCTTCGATATGACTAATTTCTCTATCATGGAGATGCTTTCATTTATAAAATTGCCAAATATCTAATAAAAGCTCAAAAATATCCCAGTATTATATTCCAGTTCAGATATGTGTTTCTAGGAAATCGAGCACTACATTACTTTGATTTGCTGTGAAAATAAGAGTATTGCCATAAAAGAATTTACTTGTGATACACTGTTTGGAACCTTTCGTGTAGTAATGAATATTACTGGAGTTTTTTCCCAACACCAAACCGTTATTTCAACACATTGACACGTGTTTCGATCACCAAGTAAACATCTTCAAGAGGAAGATAAAACGTTTTATCTTCCTCTTGAAGATAATCACTTGGAGATCGAAACAAGTGTCGAGGTGTTAAAATAACGGTTTAGTGTTGGAAAAAACTCCAGTAATATGCATAGAAGGATTTGACAAATAATTGAAATGCCAACCTCAAATACTCCTTCAATAATCCTTACTGCTATGAATAAATATAAATTTGTTTTTGCCACCCATGGGGTGATGAGAGTAAGGAGAGCAGTAACACCAATTCCTAATCCCAAAACTATTTTACCGCCAATTCTTGCAGCTAAATATCCTCCAGGAATTTGAGTTGTGATGTATCCATAGAAGAAAGAACTCAAAATGAATCCTTGTGTTTTTGAATCCCAATCAAATTCCCTTATCTACAAAAAATATACACTCAATAATTATGAAAAATTGTATAAGATCGTATAAATATCTTCATTTGAATCATATATTGTACCAGAGTAATTTTGATCTAATCGTTTTCATGGAAAGAGCTTTTACCAATACCGTTTCTCTCAATCGAAAGAAGGAATTATTATTACGATTAAAATGAACACTGTTTTGCAGAATATAGACATTTGTGAGACATGAAGGAAAATGATTATTTTCTTTTCATTCAATTGAAGGTTAATGATAGGGCTTCTGAAAAAAAATTTGCTCAGAGAATAGGCCTTTCTCGTATCACATTGATCAGTTCAATCAAGTCTTTCTATTACTAATTTAACCAAATTGAGGTAAGGCGATAATGTGACATTGTGAAACGGCCCAGGCGAAGCTCTCTGGCTTACAGAGACAGGCTTGTCTGGCTATCAGTGGTGCCATCAGTACCACACCATCAGCGGCCATGGATATCCTTCTAGATATACCTCCTCTCCACATTTTTCTGGAGATAGAGGCTAGATTGACTGCATATAGACTTTCACACATTGCCAATTGCACAAATCAATTTAATGCAGAGTGCAATAGACTGTTGGTTGACACTGGAAGTCACAGCATTCTGTAAATAAACCTCTGACTTTATGCCTCCAACTGTCAACTACGAACTGCCTTATAAAGTACTGTTCCCTAGTAGAGAGGACTGGATCCTCCGGGAGAAGGAAATATTAAGAGCAGATAGTTGTTAGTTCACAGATGGATCAAAAACACCTCCCGGTTCTGGTGCTGATGTTTTCAGTCGCAGATCAAGGATAGAGATATCAAGCTTCCTAGGAACCTTTGCAACTGTATTTCAAGCGGAAATTCACGCTATTCAATTGTGTGCGGAGAGATTGGAAGAATCCAACCTCGTAGTCAATAAAAATATTCTTGGACATTCAAGCGGCGTTGGAAGCTCTTGGCTCCTACCGAGCAACGTCTAAATTGGTAGCAAATTGCCAAAAACGACTCTCCTCGATAGGAACACTTGAAAGATTGTCTCTGGTCTGGATTCCTGGCCATACTAACCTGGAAGACAATGAGGCTGCTGACTCTCTTGCAGAGGAGGGTGCTGCAAGCAGCTTCATCGGACCAGATCCTGTCATTGTCATCGCTTTAGGCTTTGACAAACAAAGATTGAACACCTGGATGGCAAGAAGATTTATGGACTCCTGGCAGAATTTTCCAGATTTGGCTCACTCTAAGGCCTTTATTCACCCTTCGAAGCTGGATATCAAACAGTTGTTGGACTGCAGTAAGGATAAACTACGATGTCCAACTGTCAAGAAAGAGCAGAGCACATACTTTGTACCAGCCCCGCTGGGTACTGAATCAGGTTTTTGGAGTTTGACAAAGCCGTACTCTTACCATCTGACCTGAAAGACCACTCAACATACAAACTAATCGGCTTCGTTAAAAAGCTGGGTTTATTTAGTCGAGTGTGAATAGGTGTGAGCCACAATAAACCCTTGCGGGTTGCGGTGGAGGGTCGAATATACCTACTCACTTTGGACCTAACCTAACCTAACCCATTGTGAATCCTCCATTTCATTCGTATTTTTTTCACCAAGAAACCATACAGCTACCGGACTGAGTCATGACCTGTGGGAGAAATCGTCTGCGTAAAGTTTGGGTCGATGTATGACAAAGAAAATAAGAAAAAAGTATTAGAAACTTTTGTTTGCAATTTTCCGTTTACGGCTCAAGTAATATAACAGACTGATAACAGATTTCTACACATCTACTGCACATTTTGAGGGTGAGGCTTCTCACCGGCCATTACACAGTCCGGCAGCTGTACCAATGTATTGCTATTTTTTTAAATTTCCATAAAAATTTCCGTATATCCGTATTAGGATTTCTAGAGAAACGTATTGCATAATTTTTTTATAGAAACTCACCGATACTATTGAACCATTTTGCAGTGTCATGTTCTTCAATTCCGTCATTGCTACTAGAGCAATGCTTAAATTGATACGAAGGGCCCAGGCAGTGAAAAATCCAAAAAAAGCCAGCGCTGATACGACGTACCTCCTGCTTTTCCAGAACATACATGATACTTTGTGTTTACTAGAATTGAATAAAAACGATAAAAGTGAGCGATAAAATTCTATTGAAAGTTATAAAGTTTGAATTAATGATTTTAAATTTGCGGATCGTCACATAATCATGGATTTCTGGTTATTCTTTAAAAACCAACTTGCTTTTCAAATGTTTTTTAATTTACCTTTCAATATATTTCATTACTATCTATGTACAAAAGTTGAAAAAATGTTGATTATTTCAACATAAGCGTTTCCATTGTCGACATATTTTATAATTATGAAATATTAGGGTCTCGGGCGCCTCGCGGCAGGCCCTGCACCTTGTGTCAGGAGTCTCTATACCCATCACGCGACTGCGGTAGACTAAGGTGTTGAAGACACCGTCCTGGCAAGCCATAATGAACCCCTCAGTTTCCGACTTCAGCCCAATCGACCTGAGGAATGCAAAAAACGTATAGTTGTGGGAAAATGGAACTGCAGTGGAAAGTTACATACCTGATCATTTAATAGGTACCTGGTTTTAAATATCTGTAATAATTTGCATGATATCACATGTACCACTAGTATGTGATTTCTCTGGACCCAAAACATTTCAAAACATGTAAATTCACGGTACTTCACGTTGTTCACAAATTGTCAACGTTTGGTTATCTAAATTCATCATTATGGTTAAAAACCTGCAGGTTTTTAACCATAATGATGAACTGGTACAGTTCACTATTGAGGAAGAGGATTCCAACAGAAGTGTTCCCTTCTTAGATTCCCGACTAATAAGGCGAGAGGACAATTCCAAGAAAAAAAAGTCGACCTAATTGCATATCCCTGGACCTCACAAGGAATAATATGGGGAATTAAATGTTTCTTTTGGAAATTATTATTTTTACAATTTTTCATTACTAATTATGTAACAATAACAACAAATATTATATAACATTAACATCTAGACTAACGACTTGCACTAAATTAAGTGTTGAAAATGGCCTCCTTCGGCTTCAATACAACCGTCTAGCCGCCGCATCATTGAATTTCGCACTCTTCTGAAAATACCTGGCATATTTTTCATTAGGTCACATGAATTAATGATTTTATTCCGTAAATCCTATTTGCTTTGAATAGCAGTTTTGTATACCAACGCTTTAAGGTGTCCCCAGAGAAAATAATCTAAGGGATTCATTTCAGGCGAGCGAAGTGGCCATGGTTGTGGGCCTGCTCTCCCAATCCAGCGATTATGGTGATTTTCATCCGAAAATTGCCGTACCACTACACTAAAGTGTGGTGGAGCACCATCGTGCATGTACCACATACGGAATCTATCCATGACTGGAATTTCTTCTTAAAGTCCTGGTAAAATAAATTCTAAAAACCTTCGGTATTCTTCTCCATTAGATCTAGGTGGAAGGAAGTAAGGTCCAATGAGATGGTCACCGACAATTCCAACCCAAATATCAAAAGAAAACTGTTCTTGAAAATTATTTTCTATCAAGGCATGTGGATTGTTTTCGGTCCAAATGTGATTGTTGTGGAAGTTAATAATCAAATTGCGAGAAAAACAAGCTTTATCTGTAAACAGTATTCGACTTAGGAAACCTGGATTTCTTCTTAATTTACCGCGTAAAATGCAAGAGACAACAAAGTTGTATTTCTAATTGCTTAATCCAAAGAAATGATAAAAAATGCAAAAAAGTCAGTGGCGTACATTTTTAAGTCAAAAATATTTGTTCAAATCCCGCACGTGACGCAACTGGACCTAATAAATTGAATCACGTTAGGGCTAGATTAGCTCCTTAATGTTATAAATACCATATCCAAATTACAACAAAATTAGGTAAAGGATATTTAAGATATTTACGAATAACTTTTTTTTATTTTTATTTCAACACCCTGTATCTTGAGAACGAAGGACTTGCGGACCCATGTTTATATGAACATTTCGTCTTAAAATTACCTGAAGAATCGTCTGTTGAATTTATGGTACATACTCAATTA